GGGTGTGTTGGAGGTGGGAGAAGGGGTCAGTAGAGGGAGGGTTAGGCTCGCGAAGGCCACCCGAAGGCTGCAGGAACAGCACCTCATATTTTGCTTGGGAACCCTGCAGCCCAATGGTCTCAATCTGGACTTCACATGCTTCAGAATCTCCCCACCCCCGACTTCATCCCAAAACCAGCCCAGCTCATCCCCGCCTCCTTGACCTGTCCGTCTTCTCTCCACCTATCTGCTCCTTTATCCACCTTCCATCATCGCCTCCCCCTCTGCCTCTCTATTTACTTCAGAGTCCCCTTCCCCTCCCCCACTTCTGAAGAAGGGTCCAGACCTGAAACGTCAGCTTTCCTGCTCCTCTGATGCTGCCCGGCCTGCTGTGTTCCACCAGCTCCACACTGTGTTACCTTTCACACTATCCTTTTCAAGACACATAGCCCAATGATAGTCTCACAAGTATTGAGGCCTTGATTTAATAAAATGCTATTAATCATTTTCTTCACCCATTGGCAATCAGGTTAATCAGCAAAGAAACTATACAAGGGTCAGCTAAACACCTTAAACCAGTACTAGATGCAGTTATCAGGAATAATGAACATGCAATATGTTGATGATGATATTTCTGGCTTTAATGTGTTTAACCTGGGTTTGGAATTTGTTTTATTGGGGTAATGTAAGAATTTTTGTAAAATTAAAATACTTGATCATAAAGTTTGAAAGTGATATTATTATGACAAAAGTTCTTCGTAATTCATTTAGCACTTTTCTCTGTCTGCCCCCTACCCTCCCAGACACAGGATCATATAATAGATACAGCTGTCCATGTCAGAGCAACTCTACACTTCCCACTCTCCTGCCTTTTCCCAGAGCCCTGCAAATCATTTCTGTTCAGATATTTGTCCAAAACTATTTTGAAAGCCACAACTGAATATGACTGAACCACATTTTCAAACTGAGCATTGCAAATCCTAATCACTCACTACATACAAAAAAAGTTCTTTTCTCTCATTTCACCTTTGGTTCTTTCACCTTACATCAGTGACTTCCGGTTCTCAATTCTTTCACTAATGATATTGTTTTCTCCCAATAAACCAAGCATCCTAAACATTCTCATGCTTGCTGTTTTTGCTATTGCATTTTATAATCTGAATGACTGACTCTTTTACAGGGCTACAGTGAAAGTTTTTCGAAGGAAATTGAAAGTTAGGAAAGAACTGTTTTTGCATCTTATTGCTACCATAGGAGTCAATTTCAAAAAAGAAACCACTCATGGGATGTGGGCATTACTGGCTGGGTGTTATTTATTAATTGTCCCAAGTTGCCCTCGCTGGTGGTGAGCTGCCTTCGTGAACCACTGCAGTCCATGTGCTGTAGGTATTCTCACAATGCCATTAGGTAGGGGTTTCCAGGATTTTGACCCAATAACAGTAAAGGAGAGGTGATAAATTTCTAAGTCATGATAATGAATGGTTTGGAGGGGAACTTGCATGTAGTGGTGTTCTCATATATCTGGTGGCCTTGTCCTTCCAGATGGAAGTGGTCACTGGCTTGGAAGGTGAATTGGTTAAATACAGGGTATATAGTGGACAAATGAGCATGGAAATGTCAGAGCTTTGCATAGAGGATATAGGGCATGTGTTCATGGGGTCATAGATTGGCATGTAGGATAAAAGGGGCCATGGTTGATGAAGGGCATGAGGTGCCATTTGTTGGCATGGATAGGGGCATGCAGTGTGTGTGAGGAGTGAGGTGATATGAGGGATGAGGGCTTAAGGGTGTATCTTTGTTTTCCGGTAAGTATTACAAATGGGCCAAAATTCCATTGTATCAAAGTGGTCTTTTAAACACTAGGCCTGGCACTTGGCATCCCTGTGGCTGCCTTTGAACTCTTTCCAGGGCTAATGGGCTTAGCCCTGATGGACCCATCTCTGCGTTAAATGTCATCTTTCATGTGTCTGTCCTTTCCATCTGTCCATGGCTTCTTGAGATCTATCCCTATTCCCCTTACAATTCAGGATGCTCTCAGAATTTGTATTATATGTAAATCTGGCAAACAAATATCCATGGAGACAATCCTATAAACATTGCGATGCCCAATTTCTTCACCTTGATCAATGCATGATTTGTACATTGTGTTTTTTTAATTTGTTCCTGGAATGTGGGCATCACAGCTGGGTCAACATTTATTACAAATCCCTAATTGCCCTTGAGAAGGTGGTGATGAGCTGCCTTCTTAAACCATTACATTCCATGTGTTACCGGTAGATCCACAATGCTATTATGGAGAGAATTCCAGGACTTTGACTCTGTGACAGTGAGAGTGATGTATTCCCAAGTCAGGATGGTGCATGTCTTGGAAGGGAAATTGCAAATAGTTGTGTTCCCATGGATCTGCTGCGCTTGTCCCTTCAGACAGTAGTGGTAGGGGTTTGGAATTTGTCATCAAAGGAGCATCTTAGATGGTTCACACTGCTGCTACTGGGCAGCATTGATGGAGAGACTGAATGTTTGAGGATCTGGTACCATTCATGTGGGTTTATTTTCCTGAAAAGTATCAGACATATTGAGTATTATTGGAGATCACTCAACCAGGTAATTGGAGAATATTCCAATACACTCCTGACTTGGTGCGAATGTTTCAGCCTTATCTATTGCATTGATATGCTGCGCTCCCCAGTCATTGAGGATGGGGATGACTACGGAGCCTCCACTTCCTGTCAGTTGTTAATTGTCCACTACCATTAATAACTAGATGTAACAGGACTACAGAGCTTAGCTCTGATCTATTCATTGTGGAATTGGTACGTTCAGTCTATCACTTGCTGCTTATGCTATTTGGCATGTAAGTAGTCCTGTTTTGTAGTTTCACTTTATTGACCCCTTATTTTTAGGTATGCCTGGTGCTGTTCCTGGCATGCCCTCCTGCACTCTCCATTGAACCAGGGTTGATCCCCTGGCTTGATGATAATGGTTGAGTGGGGGATACGATGGGCCATGAGGTTGCAGGTTGTGCTGGAGTACAATCTGCTGCTGTTGATGGCTCACAGCACCTCATCGATGCCCAGTCTTCAGTTGCTAGATATGTTGTTTCCGTAGTGTAGTGGTTATCAATGTTGACTGTCTGTCCTATTTAGCACGGTGGTAGTGCCACATAACACAATGTGTGGGATTCTCAGTGTGAAGATAGGACTTTGTGTCCACAAGGATGATGTGGTGTTTTCTTGTACTGATACTATCATGGACTGATGTACCCTCAGCAAGCAGATTGATAAAACTGTGATCAAATATGTTTTACCCTCTTGTTGGTTTCTTCAACACCTGCTGCAGAGCCAGTCTAGCAACTATAGAATAGGCTATTTGGCCCTTTGATCCTGCTCCACCATTCAATATCATCATGGCTGATCATCCAACTCAGTAGCCTGTTTGCGCTTTTGGCCCATATTCTTTGAGTCCTTGAGCCCTTTGAACTATCCCCGTTGAACATATTGAACACATTCAATGTTTTGGCCATTTTCTGTCATAGTGAATTCCATTAACTCATGACTCTCCTCATGAAGAAATTTCTCCTCATCTCCATCCTAAATGGTGTATCCTGTATCCTTAGACTGTGACCCATGGATCAGGACTCCCTGATCTTCAGAAACATGCTTCCTGCATCTACCATGCCTATTCCTGTTAAAATTTTTATAGGTTTCTATGAAATCCCCCTCATTCCTCTAAACTTCAGTGAATATAGTGCTTTCTGATTCAATCTCTGTTCATATGTTAGTCCTGCAATCCCTATGTCCTTTATGACTTGACTAGCTCATTCAGTAGCAGTTCTGTGGAGCCACTGTATATTTTGCACCCTTGCTACTCTTAGTGTTTCCGCCATAGAGATGTACTGATTCATCAAACAAGGAAAGGGACGTAGTCTTAACATCTTTATTGGTTTTAGATAGCAAAGAAGATTTTGCCAATGCATAGGTTGATATTTTTTCTGTAATACCAGGGCAACCTATTACAGTCATGATTTCAAGACCTCAAATACCTGCAGATTTTACATCCTGAACTAGTCAAAATTACTGACAAATTGGACAAATGTATTGTAGTTTGTAATCTATTGTCTTGCCATTGTGGTACAGAGAACAAAGGGGAAGCTGAACAAGTTAGAATGAACTTCAAGACCTGCCAGTATTCCTGTTTGCCCATCATGGAAAGCTCATTCACTACCCTCACCTCACAAACCTGATGATATTTATTCAAAGTATAATATCAGGCCATAATTCACCAAAACATTTTAAACCACAATCAAAATTATAAATTGAACTCCCATGCCTATATTTAAACTGTATATTAGAAATGAACAGGAGAAAAGTTTGGGAAATTGCACATCATTGCTTGGCTTAGTATTATGCCTGAATTAGCATAATTCAGATTTAACAGAAGGAATGAAGAACAAGAAAGGAGATAGTGTGAAAGCTTCCAGATTGTCCTTAGAGCTTTCCTTAAGTGTCACGTCATTAATCATAACTATGACTGCAACATAAAGCAGACAACATGTCCACAGTCTTTGCTTAAACATAGAAAGGATTAGTTGCATTGATCAGAATCTAGATTGTGCCAAAACATATTCTGGATTAATGCCATCCTGAAAACTGACCAGCTCAACATTTAGATTCCTTAATGAGTGAATGGTTTCTTAATTTGTTTTCAATGATAATATAAAATCAGTAATTAGTTGATAGATCTTTTCATATCTCTATATATAAGAGTATTGCACTTTGGACAATGTTACTAAGATTGTTAAAGGAATTCACTGATACTCCACTGTTGTTAGGTTCGAATCAACTTGATTCTCAAAGTTCTGTCTTGACAGATGCTATTTTTCTTCTTAAAAAATGTGAAACTCTAACAAATTGGGAAGTAAAGTTGATGTGAATATATCACATTTAATATATGCAAAAACCTTGCTTACATTTCAATGCTGTACTCTTACAAGATTTCTCTCTTCTTTACAATGTTTAAAGTGAATTTAGGTCAATAGAAGAAACACAAGGGGTGCAAATAGTGAGGAACAAGCCATAAACTAAAGTAAGGTGAGTCATTCTGCTCTAGCTGTGGAAGATGGTGAAAGTCAATGTGATGATGTAATTGGATGCACTCCCAAACGTTCTATGGCATATCTTCTACACCCTTTTCTGTCTCCTTAATCACAATCAAATTTTACCACCAATTCTTAGTGAACATCTTACTTTCCTTCAGATCAAATGGAATGAGAACAGGATGGAAGAAAATCATTTCTTGTGAGCTATTATTCTGATAACCTTTGACTCAAATGCACAATAGTAAGGGAAATGTGTAATTTCTTAAAAATGTCTGTGGAATTTAGGAATGTCTCAAAAACATTTTTAAGCGTTCAACCCCTGTCATAAAGAACTGCAGGCAAAAGAGAAAGAAAGGAAGGGAAAGAACAACAAAAGGAAGGAAAGGTGTATGTAATAGAGCTAAAAAAACCAAAAAGCTGGACAGAGCAGAGATTGTGAAATGGACAACAGTTGGAGCTGCTATTTTGCAGGGCAACTGCACATGCCAGATTTGTTCACTCTCCCTGTCAAAGTATCATATAGTGACTTGTAGGAGGATGACACCAAGCTGCTGTGGCATATGCTTCAGCTATACAGCCAAAGCAGCAAATGCCAAGGAACAAACTGTCATGAGAACAGTGACATTTCAGTCCCCAGAGCCTTTCATACCACAAAGCAGCTGGCCACCCCTGTTGTACTGGTCAAAAATAGAATACTGCAAATGCTAGAAATCTGAAGTAAAGACAGATAATGATGAAAACACTTTCCACATCAGGCAGCATCTGCAGAGATAGAAACATTTCAGGTTGATGCCCTTACATGTGTGTCATTTAATGTACAAAAATATATAAATCCATCAAGTAGACCATATGGAAAACCATGACAAATGACTCCAAATGTTCATTATCAGCTACAATGATAAATTATCCACATTTCTTCAAAACATCCACTTTATACATTTGCAGCCTCCAGAAATTTTGCTAGTAGGAATAGGGCTCCTGAGCCAGGTCTCATCTGCTCTGATCACTTTTCTTTTCTTTTTTTCTCTTGTTTTCTTTTTCTTGACTGACTTACTTTGCTTACTTTACTTACTTTCCATTACTCACCTCTTGTCCTGAGTTTGGACAACATTGATAGTGGCAAAGAATGCCAGCGCAGAGTCAATGGAGCCTGGTGCAGAGCTTGTGGCAGCAGCGAGTGAGCTCTTACTTACTTTTCTGGGGCGAGCATTGGACCTGGCATCAGAATTGGTGGCTGCTGCATCAGTGGAGGCGACGTTAGCAAGGTAGGCCCAGCCGTGAAAGATGACGCCTGAGGATCAGCAACTTCATGATTTTGTTAGGTCCAGCACTGGCTGCAGTGAAGCGGTGCTGGATTGGGCATCACGGCACTGTCGACAAGATGAGCCCAGCAGTGAGAAATGCGACTCTGACATTGGTGGGTGTGGTGCCGGTGGTGGTGGAGGAGAATTGGCCCAGCAGCGAAAGATGGCACCTGAAGAGTGGCGACGTCAACGTTGGTTGGGTCTGGTGTAGATAATGACGAAATGATGGGGGAGGGATGGCTCAGGACTGATGGACTGTTTTTAAGCTAGATCTTTCTTTTTTTTCTTATTCTGAAAACTACTTAAATGGCACTGGATCGTGGTGACAGTGGAAAATCTTTTCACTGTATTTTACTGTTTTTCTCACTGTAAAATATATGTGGCAATAAAATAATTCATTTAATTATTTATTCATGCTTCCTCCCTCTTAGGTAAAAATTAGGGAAGCACTCTCTTCTGCTTGGCTGCCTCGTTTTGCAGCTATTAAAAGGCCCACAGTTCATTAATTGGCCTTTGCTGTGACTGCAGAGATAAAAATAAAGGCATTCAATAACGGAGCATGGATGTTAAGGAAGTCTGGAGTCTTAGTGGGCCAGGATGTATGGTCCCGGCAAGGGTGTGGGGACCACCTGGAAAGTGTCCTCCGATGTGTGGGGTGCCAATAAAGGAAGCACCTTTCAACTAATGCAATTGGCCTTTCCCAGCACTGGTAATATTCCTGTGAGTAGAAGGACACCCTTGAGTAACCATTAATTGGCCAGTTAAGGAGACCAATTGGTCCATGACTAGGCCTCAAGCTGCCTCCCCTATTTTGTAGAGAACTCATTTGACATGGTCCTAACTTAAGGATCCATGTGCAGAGAAGAAGCAAAGGGAGACCCAGGCACTAACTGTTCCAACGTAGGAAGAGCAGGAGGGCCAATCTCTGGATGAGAAGTTTGTGACAACATTGAGAGGATATTTGATAGGCTTCACGTAACTACAAAGGTCCAAGCGACAATGTCAACACAGATCTCAAGAGAGATTGTCACCAACTTATGCACCACACTGCAGGATAAGCTAAGTCCCATTGGCATGAGTTGTTATCCAATACCCACGGTCCTGATGATCACCATGGCTCTCAACTATTGTGCAACTCTTTCTCAGGGTCTGTCTAGGGACATGTGTTGCATCTCCAAGGTAGCAGTGCAAAGAGCTTACCAATAGTTTATTCAAGAAGGTTAGCAATTGTGTGCACTACAGAATCAACCTGAGCAGTTAGGGAGTAAAGTTTTTGGATTCGGGGACAACTCTGCATTGCTCCAGGAATAAGGTGCCATTGCTAGAACACTTGTGGCCAACAAGTCTTCAATGGAACTGCCAGCAGCTCACATCAACTTTCATTCCACTAACGTCAAAATGCACTGTGATCACCAAAAACAGATTCTACAGGTGAGTGCTTGGCTCCCAGGAAGCCGCTATGATACCCATATAGTTTAATAGTCACTATTCCTAAGCTGTTTCTGCCACTCGCTCAATGGATTTTCAGTGACTTGAACGACCTATTTAAGACATGGCTTCTTGTACCTATGAGGAAGCCTCACACTGCGGCACTTGCCACAGGTCCACCTAAGTGGCAATCAAGCAGCACATTGGGCTGCTGAAGATGAGGTTCAGTTGCATTGATCTGGTTCAGCCATGCAGTATTAAGCAGCATAGGTCTCATATATTGTAGTGATTTGCTGTATTCTGCACAATCAAGGACTGCAGAGAGATAAGAGGCCTTAAATAATGAGGCCACCACCATTTTGCACCAGAAATGAGGGGCATTGAGATACACACAATGGAGATTTGGGGCAATCCTGTACATACCTACTTTCTGTGATCCTGATACCCTTTCAAAGTCAATGAATAAACACATAACTTGATGCAGGCCACCAGGTGCCTCCTTCGTCTAGCACTTTATGCCCAGCAGCCAGGTTCACCACATGCAATTATAAAACAAAGGAGTTGATCAAACACAGCCTACCAGAAGCCGATGTAATGATGATATCTATCAGGCAGCAAGAAATGCAGCAAAAATAGTGATCAAAAAATTATTGCTATTACAGTACCAAGCCTTTACAAGTATAAAGTCTGAACACCCCCTGTCCTTGAGTACTTCATAATGTACTCATGTATGTTTTGACAAGGTGTCACCCCTACATTTGTGGCTGAGGTGGAGACAGGCTCCTGATCATGTCACAGTGAATTGGAATGACTTTAGTGGTCACCCTCTGGCAGTCTGCAGTTTGGTGGGCCCGCACACACTTAGTGTCTCTTGCCAGTGGGGATGCCTCCTCTGTCATTGCTACTGGTGTGGAGTCACTGGTAGAAAGGCTGAGGAGCCACTGTCCACACTCAGAGTAAGCACCACGATCTGAGATAAGCCCTCAGTTGTGGAGGTATGCCTTCCCTCCACCCTGCAAGACATACTTGAATCTTTCTGCTAAAGTGAAAAGGATGAGGGCCTGTGACAGGTGATGACAGAAACAACAGGAGGGAAAGACATACTTCACCTTATTTTCACCAACTTGTCTGTGCAGATGTCTGTGACAACGCTGTTAGAAGTCACCACTGTACAGTTATAGCTAAGACGAAATCCTGTCTTCACATTGAGAATACTCTCCATAATGTTGTGCAGTACTGTCACCATGCTAAATTGGATAGACTTCAAATAGATCTAACAACTCAAGACTGGGCATCCATGGGGAGGTGCTGTGGGACATAAGCAACAGCAGTAGATCTATAGCCTCACAGCCCAGCATATCCAACAGTCTACCATTAACATCAAGCTAGGGATCAATTCTGGTTCAATGAAGAGTTCAGAAAAGTATTCTGGGAGCAGCGCAAGACATACCTAAAATTGAGGTGTCAACCTAACGAAGGTACAACACAGAACCACTGACTGCTGAGCAGCATGAGCAGCAAGTGATAGACAAAGCTAAGCAATCCCACAATCAATGGATCAGATTTAAGCCCTGCAGTCCTGTCACATCCAATCATAAATGGTAGTAAACAATTATATAACTCACTGAAGGAGGAGAAGACTCCAAAAACATCACCATCTTCAATGAAATCACATCAGTGTAACATAAAAGGCTGAACCATTTGCAAAAATCTTCAGCCAAAAGTGCCAAGTGAATGATCCATCATGGTTTCCTCCAGAAGGTCTCTGCATCTCAGATGCTGGTCTTCAGCTTTTTGATTCATTCCATGTGATATCAAGAAACATTTGGAGGCAGTGGATATTGCAAAGGCTGCAGAACCTGCCATACCTTTAGTTCAAGCTGTTCCAGTAAAGCTACAACACTGGCATATGCCCAACAATATGAAAAATTACCCAGATATGTCCTGTACACAAAAGCCAGGACAAGTGCAACCCAGCCAATTGTCAGCCCATCAGTCTCCTCTCGATCATTAGTAAATGATGGAAAGTGTCATCAACAATGTTATCAAACAGCAATTGCTCAGTAATAAACTGCTAACTGACACCCAGTTTGAGTTCTGCAAGGGCCACTAAGCTCCTGACCTCATTGCAGCCTTCGCTCCATCATGGACAAAACAGCTGAATTCCAGAGGTGGTGAAAGTTTCACCTTTGACATCAAGGCTGCATTTGACTGAGTGTGGCATCAAGGATCCCCAGCAAAACTGGAATCAATTGAAATT